AACTCCTTCTGCAAGTCTAGGAAGGCTATATGAACATGGTGCTGGTTCCGATGTTTCTCCAGCAACAGGCGAGCGGCATGAGTGGCAACGATGGTACCGCAGCTGCTTACAAAGCAGTACCATTGATAGAGAGCTGAACGATATCAACGACCACCAATAATTTGTTCAAACGTTCTTGAGCTGTGCTAGAGTAGGCGAATTCGAGCAGTCTGCACAGTTGTCCTGCCAGTAAATGTAGCACATTAATGGCTAGAATTAGCGGAACATTTGCACACATGCCGGGAAAAGTGACCGATTTGTAAATCAACATAGTTTTAGAACTTTCCTGTCTTTGCGGCCAGTTCAAGGCTGCGACTGAACCTGTAAACAGCTTAAAATGGCTATTGTTCCTGAACTGAGCGCATACCGGCACCATGTTTGAGAAAAAGCGGAGGACACAACGATATCAACAACTGTTTTCACAAAAAATGACCCCAATTTTTTTTGTCAATAGTACTAATTGTTTGTGATGAACTAACCGATTACGTGAAGATGGATGAACAACTTGATGAGACTCGTCTCAGGAATAAGCGCAAACCTCCGATCTTCAATTTCTGCTATATGCGTCGCATATGCCTTGCTGGAAAAACACTTTTTTCACCTGTCAAAAAAATAAAAGCGTTGCAAAACCTCAACATAACCTTAACAAAAAGAGCATTATATACAATACATGATTGACTTCTGTGTCACTTAGGTTAGTTCTCAAATGAAAGCATCAGCGCGCAAAAAAAAACTTTCGCTAGTTAAGAATACACTTTATGACCTGGTCAGGTGTATAAAAGTGCAACAATTAACATGTTTTGGTTTCGAAAAATCGCAGGGTTTTGAACTGATTTTCCACCTCGGCTAGGATTAAAACACTACACTTTCTGGGCTGGTGAACAACCATTGCGCCAACGGAGCCGTGTGCTACCCATGTGGAAGGACATTAGGCCATACCGCTAGCTCTGCTCAAGGGATGTCCTAGGACAGTATTTTGTACTCTCCTACATTCAATACTCTCTAGCCCCTCTCTAGCCCCGTCGCTGCAAGCGCTGGGAAAACGCTGGAGAAACGCTGGTGAAGCTAGATCGATAGCTATGCTTCCCGTGCCCTCGCTACGCCAGCGTGCGCTAGCGTGCCGCTGGCGTGCGCTAGCGGCACGCTAGCGTACGCTGGTGACGCTGGGAACGCTAGATCGATATCTATCCTTTCCCCGACACTGCCGCTGGCGTACGCTGGAAGCGCTACGCTACGCTGCCGCAAAGTATAAACGCAGCCTTACAAGTACGTCCGGGCCCTTAACCGTATGAACTGTACTTGCTGAAGGTTAGGCAGACTTACCACTTCTCCTCGTTCAGTGATATAAGCTGTGATGTCTTGAGAATTTTGCCTAACAGCACAGCTTCAAATTTTTGAACGTTTCCACAAATAAGCGTCAAGATCCGGCTAATGACAAGAGCCAAAGATGGATCTCGTTCAGCAACGCCCTGTAACAGAAAACTTCGTTTGACCCACACACATTGTGGAAGGGGGAAGCTCAGTCCAAGCAGTGTAGTGAGACAGCTTACAATGGATTCTTTCGCGAAAAGGGGCACTATTTACCCTTTACTGCCCCAACATCCAGAATTGAGCCAGTTTTTGACCGACTTTTTTCTCCGTGGACAGATTTGGCTCAAATGTTGTCTCCTAGGGTAGTTTGACCTCCTGAATACGAATATCACATTCGCTTAGCCCGAAACTTCCTGGCGCCCGCGCCACAGGCGCCGGTGATTTGGGGTATTTGGCGCCGGTGCCTGTGGCGCGGGCGCCAGGAGGTTTCGTGCCGAGCGGATGTGATATTCATGTTCAGGAGGTCAAACTACCCCAGGGAACAAATTTTAGCCAATTCTGCCAACGCAGAAAAAAGTCGGTCAAAAACTGGCCTGTTTTTGGAAGATTGGGGCAGTAAAGAGTAAATAATGCCAAAAAAGGAAGTAAAAACAAGGGATGCGTTACAAAACAAGGTTGTGGATCTCTGATCCAGTAAAAATGACTTCGACACGCGTTACATCATGTCTTTCAATCGACAACGAAATTCGGAACTGCGAATTCCCTTCTACACATTCGAGTCAAAAATCCAGACGTGCTCTACTCGGCTAGCATCTCTGTGTAAAAACACAAGCACATTGTGGATCATCCTGGTTAGGCTATCCTACTCTTACAACTGCAACTCCCCAGAGAATCCATTCATTGCTGGGATTGATACAGTCATGCCAAATCGCATGATATACAAGGTCCAGCTTCAGTTCTTAGATCACAGAAAACAAAGTTACCGAAAATCCCCGTTTTCGACAACAGTACATATTACCGTGAAGTAGAAGCTACCTCAAGCACACCAGTGTGTGCGCAAGCCTCGCCACTTAAAAAGGAAAAGTCGTGGGAAGCAGCGAATTAAAGGTGGCAAAACTCACTATGTATGACTCAATTGTAATAATGAAGCCATAACATCTAAAATCGCCCTCAGGAAGTTGCAGACACTTATCACCATATCTGAAAATTATTATACAAAAGACGATTCAACAAAAAAAGAATTCTATAAAGCATAAAGAGCCAACCCAACCCAATAACTTCCTTCCCATTGAGAAGCATACATAAGAAACCAGAAACAGCCGCGATTTCCTGTAGAGAAGCTGTTTTTTTCGACTCCACTGTAACTTTTTCAACGATGGTCCGTTTCGTCAAAGCTCGCATTACTTTCTGAAAGGTTGCATCAACTGTTTGTGAGCTACTGAGATCATCAAAATCTAGAAGCTGATACCTGATCTTTATTCTCCTCTATACGCTTCTTCGCCTTGTCATATTCTTCTGCAAGTTTCACTTCTGCCATGTAGAACTCCTCTAGGGACTTCGATGGCACGGTAGTACGAACATCTTCCCGGGGCTGCAGTAAAAAAAGGTAGGACCGCAGAAAAAAGAGCTACAGTTAACTTATTCAGCGCCCAGCGAGGTAGATAAAGAGCGTCATGGAAGGGAGAGTTCGAAAACCTTGTGGCTGCAAGGTTTCCACCCCAGTTTTCCTGTTCCCATTGATACTCAAGTTCTTTTTCTCATGAAAGCATTACTGACGCACTGCGAGCCCGCAATGGGTGCTTAACACCACCACACGCACCTGCGTTGACGATTTTGCGATTAGAGACGTAATGGGTGCTGTTTGGCGAGGGGGGGGGACGTTGGGGGGAGGGGTGGCATTTTGCACTTTAACGACTTCCCATCGACGTGTCGACCCATCTAGACAGCCTCTTCTCGAGTTGACAGGTTTTACCATGATGGCTTGACGAGCTTGCTCCAGCTTCACAAGAGTTCACAGGTTTCACCAGAGTGAGACTTGTAAACCAGAACTAAGCAACGGAAGTGCCCCCCCGTCGGCAAAACTGCGCCAAACTAATGTCTCCTGCATCCCACTTGTTACTGATGCAGTAGATGAGTCAATGTCGTATAGAAGTGGTGTAGTGACTAGTGACGTCACTTAAAAAGGGCACGATTCCGTGATCAAGCCTGGATATGTTTGGCATATGCGTAGCGTATGCCAAAATATGGAACCCCTAGGTCGAGGCATAATATGTCGCAAGTTGACCATACTACGCTTACAACCTTTTTCTAGCTATTCGCAATGAAGAATAATTACTTGAATATAAACAGTCGACAGAGTTATTTAAAAGTTACTCCAGACCTAGAAATTCGTTACAATTGGTTTCCCCGACTTCTCGCCATGAATATTTCACTGCATTGCTCACCAGGGAATCACCAACTTACCGAGAACTTGGAAGTGACGAGTGGATAATCGACTAGAGCAGTATAAGCCGTTGTTTAACACATATAGACACAAAACTGCAAACCTGCATTTCACAAGGAACTTAGGAGCAGGTAAAGTTTTGCAATGGTGCAGTAGGGTGGAGAGCTGTGAACACATAAGTGAGGAATCGCATACGTCGGATCGAGTCGTGGTGATTCAGTGGTAAGCTTCTCGCTTCACGGGTACGATTTGACGATTCTTCGCCCTGCTCACCGAGCCAAGCCATCCACCCTAGCTGCCAACCATTACAAATTTTACCTGCTCTGAAATGCAGGTTGCAGTTTTGCCATCTACATTTGTAAACAACGTTATATACTCTATCAATCTACCCAGGTCTCCATTCAATGTTCCATGGCAATTCGGCCCGCGTAATTCCCTGGTTAGGATTGAAAAAAGCGAAAAAACGTCCCCCATCACGTAGGCATAAAAAGTTACAAATGTTTGTTTTTTGATCTTGCATTACTGACATTGACATCTTTCGTGACGATATCATCTGGCACCAGTTTGGTGCAACTACAGTTCGCTACAGACTGGTAGTTATATTGGAGGGGTAATCCAGGGTCTCGATGTGCAAATACGACTTGCTTCTTAGTGCACAACAAGTGACACGACAGAAGTGCGCGACAAGAAACTTCAGGGTCAGTATAGTGACTGACAGTACCAAATACTCCCAGACAACGTTTTTGGTGGCAAGTGTTTAACAGAATTTCCTCATATCTTGGCGAAACTGTGCCCAAGCAGTGCCCGTCTCAACCCCGGCCCTCTAGTTTCCGTAGTAAATGTTTGTTCTACTTCAATGCATGATTTCACTAATGTAACTAGGTTTTGTGGAAAAAAATATTCCTGGGTTGAAAAGTAGTAGTTGAGAACGTGACCAAGTAACATGCAAGCCCCCCCCCCCTGTTCCACCTTTCAAAGCGATGAGGTTATTCGAACGCAGTTCAGTGTTTTCTAGAGCCGTTTCTATCCCACACTGATTAACACCAAATGTGCAACACCACCAAAGTGCTTGAAGCAAGAGTAACAGAAAGGTAGATCAGGCCTATCCTTACATCGAAGTCCTCACAGCGACATCCGAAACACACCAGTCTTCTTCCACCCAGGCAAAGGAAATTATCGGCGTAGTTTCAATGTAGTTCTAATGCCCGTGAACGCAACCACGAGACGGACAATTTGAAGAGTGCTGTTTGGGTTACGGTACCGTGACGTACTGAAGTTAGCTTCATGTTACCAAAACGGGAATGTTTCACCAGAAGCACAGCATCGGTCACATTCAAATTAGTGACAAAGCCACGCTCTCACCTTCTTCGAGATATGGGGTGTAGAATGTGCTGCGTGTCGCAAAAAGTGATTGGGCAGGGCTAGTTCTACTCATACCTTTAGAAAGAAAACGGGACGGTGAGTAGCGGCATACCTTGATCTCTTTGTCGCTTTTCGCAGGCTCAGTATGCTGAAGTTTTTCAGAAACAGCAACATGATTATCGAAGCCGTTCTTCAGATTCCCACTTCCTCCTGAAGCTGGTGGAGTGGACTGTTTTTCGATGACGTTCTTGGGATTCCCACTCTCGTTTGACGTCGGTAGAGCGGTCTGTTTTCTAGATAGAATATTTCAGGTCGAAAATATAGAAAAACTCACTAAACTTCTACTCACTTCACAAAAGAAAAGGGTGTCGACGTTAACGCTCCAGATCCAAAGGAAGGTCTCGAACCGTTGTAAGCGTCCAAATGATTCATTTTTAATATGGCTTCATTTACTGACACAGTCGACATTGGAGTACCAAGAAAACCAAAGCTTTTCTCATTGACTGAAGACGACGTGAGCAGCGATACATCTCTGCTCATGGGTGTTGACAACGAGGGAGATGGCCCAACCATTGGAGTGCTACCATTCAACAGCGACGTGCAACTACTGCAAGTAAACAAATAAACTCTGAATAGGGCAGAAATCTAAAATCGGACCACTATTCCTACCAGAAATGAATAATAATGGGCATAAAACAGGAATATCACAATGAGAACTAGCTCACCAACTAGAAATCGTTCAAATAGCATATGTAACACACAATACTACGGGCAACTGGTACATGAACAATAACAAGGGATAGAAATTGTCGAAATATTAAAGAACTAATATTGCTCCATCAGTATTTGAAAGTTCCGTTTTCAATATCCCAACCTCCCCAAGCCAAGTCAGTTCATTTAGTGAGGCTAGAATCTAGGGTTGTAGATTCAGAGCGTAAATATTCTGAGCGTAAATAAACAATGTAGGAGATTATGAAGACCTCAAAGCCAAGATATTAAGAGAACACTTCGTTTTGAACCCTTTTACAATGGTACTAAAGACAGGGATCGATAGTGCTCTTGTTCGCCCACAACATTAACTGGGAATTATCAATCATGAGGAATTACTTCCCACACCAGCTGCGGGATGTGATTCACCACGACGTGAACAATTACTCCACTTCGCCATCCTGAAGTGGGCAAAAACCGCCATGTAGACATGTTGCAAATACTTTAGGAAATTTCGAACAATCCACACCTAAAAATTGTTAGCGCCGAGAAGAAAACAGGACAGCAAGGCTTCGAGATGTTCAGCACAATGTGCAGCAATAGCGTCAAATTCGAAAATTTTATGAGAAAGGCGTTGTAAAATTGCTGTGACTTTGCTATAAATATCACAGCAGGCACGGTGAACAACTGCGAGTTATCGGGAAATTTTCGAGCGCAAAATTATAAAATAAACTCGAACATACATGATGTTGGTATCGCCTCCAATTGCAAAATGGCATGCGAGGTGACTTCGAATGGATACAACCAGGTGAAGCATAAGGGATTAGAAGAGCCTACCTCGACATCACTGGCCTGTGTTCAGAACCTGCGTCGCCGCTTCCAGCAGACGAGGTAGGCCCTTTCGGAGTTTCACTGCTTGGCTGCAACACCGGCTGTGAAGGGCGTGAGTCGGCAGGATCAATGCCAAAGGGCCTGAAAGTCTTCCAAAATTCCATATTCGCACAACTTCCTCCGGTGCTTT